GATTATTTGCGCTAATCCGTAGAAAGATCCAGGTGAGTTCATCTGTGAAGCCCCACTTTGTCAATGGCAAGCAAGATTTTTAGAGCTCTTTGCTCAGAATTGGGATGAGAAGGTTTTTTTTCACCCACAGAGTGGTGAGCTTGTGGGATTCTGTACCACTGAAAGTGGTTGAGGCCAAAACATTATGCATTTTCAAAAAGGAGGCAGATATAGCTCTTGGGGCTAAAGGGATCAAGGATATGGGGCAGTGCGGGGGTGAGTGGGATTTGGATACTGAAGTCAATGCTTATTATAAATGGTGCAGCAGGCTTGAGGGATCAAATGGCCTACCCCTGCTCCTATTTTCTAAGTTTCTATCAGCTATCATTTGATCTATAAAATAGAACTGCATACATTGTTCAAATAATTGTAATTGAGTAAAGGTGTCACTGGATGCCCGATTCATGATGATGTTTCTGCTTTCCAAGATGCACCTTGAAGACTTTGGACTGTGATAAGCCATATACCCTGGATTTCATGTCAGCATAAGTTAATAACTGTTCATCCTAAAGAACAAAGACTCTGCTGTTGCTGTTCTGAGAATGGTTATTATGGATTAACTGTCAGGAACAGAGCATACTAGCCTTCCAACTTCTCTATAACACTACGCTTGCTTTGTGGTGCAGCTCAAAATTGCACAGCAATTTTTCTTATTTATTTAGTTTCAAAAAGGCAATTTTAGAACCTTTAAACTTTGAAATAATATGTTTTAATTGAAAAGAAATTAGCTGTTTTCTTGGTTGTTAACACCCTATCTCACAGATCTGTATGACCATCTGTTCTCACAGAAACTGATGCTGTTTAATGGTGAGAACATCTCTATTGGTTTGAATGCACTACTGTCCAAAACTATTGTTTGGTTGGCCTTCGATTACATTTCTAAATATCTACTGCCAAGATGGTCACCACTGGTATCCTGGTATGAGTTTGCCTCTATCAGGCTGTTTTGCCTGTTGCAGCAATGCATAGCAAAAGTCTTGTAACATAAGAAACTGAATGTGGATTCACATATTATATGGTAAATGCAGGAAGGCTGTTTCTAATATAGGAGACAACAAGAACTGCAGATGCTGGAGTCAGAGTCAATACAGTGTGGAGCTGGGGGAACACAGCAGGTCTGGCAGCATCAGAGGAGCAGGAAAGTCAATGTTTTGGGTTTACACCCTTCATCAGGACTTGATGCTTATTAAGGATCAAGGGTTCAAAGTGTATAGGGAGAAAGCAGGAACATGGTACTGAGTTGGATGATCAGCCACAATCAAATTGAATGGCGGACCAGGCTTGAAGGGCTGAATGGCCTACTGCTCCGATTTCTATGCTTCGATGTTCTATGGCACTGAAGAATGCAACAGATATTTATTACAGCTAACTATTGTGTACAAACATTATATGACCCAGACACATAATTGTCTGGCCTAACCTTAAGTTACTTCCAGTAGAGTGCCATATTTGAAATGAATCAAGACAAGAGGAGTAGGAGACTATTATCATGCAATTATGTCATGAGCATACTTCTTAAAGGTATACTGATATACTAAAAGTATGAGACTTAGCACAGCAGTCCTGAGGTTGTGAAAGTTGCAACATCAATGCAAGTTCTGTCTTTAATGCCATCAATCAGAGACTTCTCTGATGGCAATTTTTAAACATGGGGTAACAGGACTGAAGTATGAGGAGAGGTTGAATCAGCAAGGATTATATTTGCTCAACTTGAGAAGAATCGCATAAAATTCTAAAAGGACTAGACAGGGTAGATGCAGGAAGGATGTTTCCGATGGCAGGAGAGTCCAGAACCAGAAGGCCAGAATCTACTGACACAGGAAAAACCATTTAGGGCTGAGATGAGGAGAAATCTCTTCTCCCAGAGAGGGGTGAGCCTGTGGCATTCATGACCAAAGAAAGCAGTCGAGGTCACAACATTATATGATTTCAAGAAGGAGTTAGATTTAGCACTTGGTGTTAAAGGCATCAAATGATATGGGGGAGAAACAGAAACAGGCTGAGTTTGATGATCAGCCATAATCATGATGAATTGTGTAGCAGGCTCAAAGGGCCAAATGGCCTACTCTTGCTCCTTTTCTCCATGTTTCTATGATTCTATGTAAACCAGAACTTGTTTCCATACCAGCATTTGTTAATGCCCATCAGCTACCGCTTTCTACCCCACCTGACAGCAAAGGAATCTATGAGACCCTGGGATATTGGCCACAGAGTAGGAAAGGACCAGGATCTCTGAGGGAATCAGCAAAATTCCATTTTAGGACCAGGACGGTTCCAGCTTTGTTCTGCTAGTGTATATTTGTCCAATGTTGATAGCATTTGCACAACAGAAGAGTTTGAAAATGATTATCCGCCAGGTGAATAAAGAGATCTCCTTGTGGGTCTGCTCCTGGGACTGGCTATAAACTGGTCCAGGCAACAGGCCATGGAGGGGTTCATTTCTGCCAACTGCCTGCCCCTCTTCCACAGTTATGTTCAAGCCTGGGTCTCATTGGAGAGGGAGCATGCAGTGTCCACAAATATTCTCCACGCCTTTAGGGAGAGATGGGCACTGCTTTATTTCTGACCCCCCGCCTCCCAACGACTCTTATTTTGATTTAATCCCTATCCTCCCCTTCACTTTTTTTCACATCAGCATTACTGTAATCGGGCTTTGCTTATCACTGATTCCCTGGCTACATGTTTTTCTGGTGGTGGAAATATTGAATAAAGTCACTGCACTTACACACACACACACAACACAGGTGCTGTGGGGAAAAAAATAAACTTTGCTGCTGTGCTGTAGTTGTGCAGTGGAGGGGTGGGGGGGAAGGCAACTGAGGACTGAGGACACCAGCCATTCACAATTTACAGCAGCTTTGGATAAAACGGATGGTTTCGAATATGTGGAGGTGAAGGGGCTATGCTCCAAAAACTTGTGTTTTCAAATGAACCTGTTGAACTATAACCTAGTGTCAGGTGATTTCTGACCCAGTTTCAAATAGGAAACCCAGAATCCTAGAGGGCTCTCCAAGACTGAGAGGTGTTACATTTCAGGTGGGCAGGGCTACAGTCCATGGTTGTTACACTCTGTATGACAACTTCGCAGTACATCTACATTCTGCCTGCAAAAACAACGCTGAGCAACCTGTTGCCAGCTACTTTAACACACTACCCCGTTCTCTGGCCAACATCTCTGTCTCGGTCTTGCTGTAGTTTCCAGTGAAGCTCAACGCAAGCTCGAAGAACAACATCTCATTTTTCGTTTGGGAACTCTGTAGCCCTCTGGACTCAATATCAAGTTCAATAATTGTAGAGCCTAAACACTCCCATGTCCTAGCCTCCTACCCCACACACCAGGCCTTGTAATCACATAGTCTGCCCTTACACACTACCTATTGTTAGTCATTAACAGTCTCCATTAACAACTATTTACCCTACTAGCCAGATCATTATCCACTCCTTTCTCCATCCAACTGCTCTCCTCTCTCTTTGGGGTCTATCCTTTACCCTATCATTTACTCCCTACTCCATTCCCCTCCCTATTTTCTGATATAAACCGATGTTTTCCCAGGTACCATCAGTTCTGAGGAAGGGTCACCGGACCCGACACGTTAATTCTGATTTTCTCTTTACACATGCTGAGATTTTCCAGCAACTTCTATTTTTGTGTCAGTGGATGTTACATTCCAGGATAAACCTGGGCAGAGCCTGGGCGACTTGGGTTGAAGGGGTAGAGCAGAGTTATATCGTGGGCAACAAACATAAGTTGCTGGAAAATCTCAGTATGTATGCAGAGAAAATCAGGGTTAACGTTTCAGATCCAGTGACCCTTGGTCAGAACTCGACCTGAAACGTTAACTCTGATTTCTCTGCACTCATGCTGCCAGATCTGCTGAGATTTTCCAGTAATTTCTGTTTTTGTTTCTGATTTACAGCATCCGCAAAACTTTCCAAACATCGTGGGGCCGCGGACTGCAACACTAAGGGGCGGGGCAAGGGCGGGGCTACTTGCTGGAGGCGGGGACAGCACGGTGGATATTCTGGGGGCGGGGCTACATGTCGGCGGCGGAGTTACGGGTCAGGGGAGGGGCTACATGTCAGGGCGGGATTATAGGTCCGGGGCGTGGCTACAGGTCAGGGGCGGGGCTACAGCTCGGGAGCCGGGCTACAGGGGCACGTAGACCAGGGTTGAAAGGAGTGGAGCGGGCTACATACTGGGGGCGGGTTGCAGGCGGGGCCAAAGGAAGGATGCGGAGCTTTCAGGCGCTGAGGCGGGTCTACAGTGAAAAGTGTGTCCGAGAGAATAGATGGGTTTGTGCGGGGCAGGGCCTGAGAGGGCGGAGCTATAGGGAGGGCTGTCGTATTGTTCGGGAACCCGGCCCAGAGGGGCGGGGCTACAGTGAGGGGGCGGCCGTACCGTTGTTCGGCCCCGGGGGGGCGCAGCGGCGGGGTTTTGGGTGGAGGGGCGGGGTTTCGGGCTGTGGGGCGGGGTTTAGGCCGGAGGGCGGTGTTTATGTCGGGGGCGGGGTTACGGGTAGGGGTGTGTCCTCCGGTGGCGGTGGAGAGAGGAAAGGGCTGGTCTTTGGCCGCATGGTGGGTGATGGTGGGACGGGGTGGGCGTATTGACATCCTGTGACCTGGAAGCAGGGCCCGGAGTGGGTTTGGGCTATTGGGCCCAGTTGAGCCGGGGATCAGGGAGCGAGGGCGAGCAGGCTCAGGGCCTGTTGCGGCGGCGGTTTGTTTGAAGGCCCACTTTTGGTTGGCTGCAAAAAAAATTCTAGAGTTGTCCATTTGGCCCATCAGACTTTGCTGGCCCAGAGCAGCAGTCTCCAAATAGTCATCCAGTAGGGAAGCTAATGTTGAACCTGCAGCACCCTTTTTGGCAGCACCTATTATCACGCCAACTTGGAGTAGAAAGTTGTGTGGGGTGCACTTTGGCCTCAGCTGGAGTTGTGCCCAGCTTTGGGATCCCCACTCCAGGGAGTATGTAAAGCAGTGCTTCCCACACGTTTTCCCCACAGTGACTCCATTTTAATGGTTATGACTGTCAATGAGAATGGAGCAAGGGAGAGGGTCTATATTAGAGTAGGAATAAATGGGGCATGCTGTCAATGGTGGACTGTGACTAGGATGGTACTGCAAAGGTCAGTACTTGGAACCTATATGTCTATGATTTAGCTTTGAGACTAAAGGCAATTTCAAAACTTGCTGAAAGTGTAAAGATAATCAGAAGTTTGTACTCTGAGGAAGATGTATAGGAAGGATATTACTAAGCTGGAGAGGGTTCAGAAGAGATTCACCAGGATGTTGAGATAACACAGTGTGGAGCTGGAGGAACACAGTGTGGAGCTGGAGGAACACAGCAAGCCAGGCAGCATCATAGGAGCAGGAAAGCTCGGGTTGGGACTCTTCCTCAGAAGGAGTATGAAAGGTTTGAATGATAAAGAAAGCCTGGATAGGTTTGGACTTTTTTCACTGGAGCAAAGGAGGTCGTCATTTCCCTCGGGTGGGAATTCCAAGACTAGGGAGTACATTATCAAGTTGAGAGGAGAGAGATTTTAAAAAGACATGAGGGGCAAATTTTTTACACAAAGGGTGGTTCGTGTGTGGAATGAATTCCAGGGGAAGTGGTGGTTGTGGGAACAATTACAATGTTTAAAAGATATTTAGATACATTCATGAATAAGAAAGGTTTGGAGGAATATGGGCCAGGACCACGCAGATGGAACTAGTTTAGTTTGGGATTATAGTCAGCATGGACTGGTTGGACCAAAGGATTTGTTTCCATGCTGTGTAACTCTGAGTAAAGTAATTTTAGGAGGATTTGGACAGGCACAGAGATTAGGCAAGGACATGACAGTATAATGTGGAAAGCTGTCAAGGTTATCCACTTTGGTTGGAAGCACAGATATACAGAGTTTTTTTAAGTTATGAAAAGTTGGAAAGTGTAGATGTACAGAGGATTTTAGGATCAAATTACTGCAGATGCTGAAATCTGTACTGAAAACAGTACAAAGGGATTTGGGTGTGCTTGTCAATAAGTCAGTGAAGGCTAACATGCAGATCCAGTTAGCCATTAATAAGGCTAATGGAATGTTAGCTTTCATCACAAGCGGATTTGACTACAGGGTCAGTGAAAACTTGCTTCAGTTGTATGGGAGCTTGGTTAGACCACACCTTGAGTTCTGTGCATTTTGATTTCCTTTTTTCAGGAAAAATATTACTGCTATAGAGAGAGTGCAACAAAGGATCACCAGACTTGTTTCCAGGGATGCTGGAACTGTCCTATGAAGACAGATTGGGCAAACTTGGTCTGTACTCTCTAGAATTTCAAAGAATGAAAAGTGATCTCATTGAAACCTACAAAGTACTTAGAGCGATAGGGTAAATGCAGATAAAATATTTCCACTGTTTGGTGAGTCTAGAACCAGGGGGCACAATTTAAAAATAAGGGGGATGTCATTTAGGATTTTTTTAAACTCAGAGGGTTGTGAATCTTTGAACTTCCAAAACCCTCTAGAGTAGAGAATTTCGTTTGTAGAATATAGTTAAAGTAGATTTTGAAACATTTTTGAATTTCAGTGGCATAAATGGCTATGAAGACAGTGTAAGTATATAGTATTGATGTGTTCAATCAGCCATGATGGTATTAAATGACAGAGCAGACTCAATGGGTTGAATGGCCTACTCTTGATCCTATCTTAGAAGTTAGAGTTCTTTGGCAGCCATCACTACCTTGGAGCTCACAGCCCCACTTTGGATCCTGACTGCAGGTTTCAGAAGCCCTGATGTGAAGGCTTTAGAAAGCAAGCAGAAAAGATTTGTGAGACAGGTTCTAGAGATGAGAAACTTCAGTTTTGAAAATAGGCTGAAGAAGTTGGGACTGTTTTCCTTGTAGAAGAGAGGTTAAAAGGAGTTTTGACAGTTATTCAAAGCCAGGAGGGATCTGGACAGAGTAAATAGGGGGAGCCTGTTCCCACAGGTTGGAAGGATTGTGAACCAGAGGGTGCAGATTCCAGGATCTGGAATATGCAGCCTGTGAACATGGTGGGGACAGGTCCAATTCTTGCTTTCAAAGTATAATTATATAAGGGAAAAAGGGTGCAGTGTTGACAGTGAAATTGGAGAGGGACTAACTGAGGTGCTCTTCCTGAGAGCTGGCAGAGGCTAGATGGGCCGAATAGTTTCTTTAAGTGCTGTACTATTCTATATTGACCTTATATTGGTCCCCTCTGGTTGCCAGCCCACTGCCATTGAAAACTGTATTTACTCTATCAAAACTATTCATGATTTTAAACACTTCAAACTTGTCTAGCACTTGTGCAGTCATCATCTTCACTGTCAGCTTTCCTTCTGTCCAAGGTGATACCCAAGGCTAGAAATGTCCAGGTCGAGATCTCTCTGGAAGATGTTTCGATTGGGATTGTTATACAGTGGACGGTGTGGAGAACATTGGTTCCCCTCAGCCCAATGCAGCCAAGGAATGTACAGAAGCTGCCTTCAGTTCACAGTCTCCAGTGCACAGCGAAAGGAAAATGGACAGACTGTGGAGAGTCTGAAGCAGCTGTCAGTGGATGTAGCGAGGATTCGTCAGCTAAAAAGCTGGGTTTTGTTTGCAAACGAGGCTTATGTCTATGAAACCGCCAACATTTTAAAGGAAATGGGAGTTGAGGGGAAGAAGGTAGCCGTCATTTTGGAACGATACCCTGAGGCCGTCCTCTGCAAACCAGCAGAAATCAGAGCCCAGCAGGAGTTATGGGGTAGATTGTGCACCAACGAGAAGGAACTGGCAAGAATTATTGAGCGGTTCCCAGAATCATTCTTTACAATCAAAAACCACAAGAATCGACAGGACAATATCAAATATTTCCAAGCATTAAACCTGAATAACAGGATTATCAACCGCTTGCTGGTCAGTTCTCCCCAGACTTTCTGTAGCAGTGTGGATCAGAACAGGGCTGTAGTTGAGAATTTACAGAAAAGCTACCTTCAGCTGGGTGGCAACCAGGCTAATATGAGGATCTGGTTAATGAAACTGCTGAGCCAAAATCCTTTCATTTTGTTGAAACCTCCAAACTTGGTGTGTGAAAACTTGAACTTTTTGCGATCCTTGGGTTTCAGCAATGCTGAGCTCCTTAAGCTGTTCTCCAAGCTCAAAGGGTTGATAACTGAGCTATCGCCCAATATTATGGAGAAAAGCACTGCGTTCTGTCGACAGTCATTGCAGTGCAGCGATGAGGGATTGAAGATCATCTTGATGAGCTGCCCGGCCTTGCTGTACTTCTCGGCCCCTGTCTTGGAGGAGCGACTCACGGCCATGTTGCGGGAAGGGTTTTCAGTGGAGCAGGTCAAAGCAAGTCCAGCAGTTCTCGAGCTGTCTCCACAGATTGTGCACCATCGCATCAAGAGGTTGGTCTCTTTAGGATATGATGTAAAAAGAGACAGCCTGGAACTGCTCAAAGGAACCAAGAAGGATTTTGAAGTCAGTTGTGGAAAAATGAACCAGAGGAAAGAGAGACCCTTGTTTAACCCAGTCGCTCCCTTGAACATTGAGGACTAACCAGCCAGTGAGCACTGGGATGTGTCAACCCAAGATGTGACCCTAAAACTGGAACACAGGAGCAGGAGTAGGCCATTCAGCCCCCACTGTACCATTCAGTAATATTACAGCTATTCTGATTGTGGCCTCAATAACACTTTCCTGTCTGCCGGACTCTGTTGTCTACCAAAGTCTTGACTGTAGGATGTTGTGGTTTGTATTGTGTTCAAGTTCAGCACTTGCTGAGAATATGAGATTTCAGTGGAAGACAGATCAGGGTATTTAAATTGATGAACTGATTCGAATTGGGCAACTAAGGCAAAAAGCAATGTTTTCATCCAAAAGGTCAGGGAAATCTGGAATTCTGCTCATCCACACACAACTCCCCCCACTCGGAAAATATAAAACACAACAAAACGTTTACCATGTGCAAATAGGTGCAGATCAGTCATGGTCTAATTGAAGATTGAAACAGTTTTGAGGTATCAAATGGCCTCCTCTTATGTTCCAATTGTTAATAATTTGTCACAAACAGATCCCTCAAACTCGTAGTAACTTCTTCCTGTCAACCTTTCCATGAAAATGAGTAGATATGGATATCTACTGCGAGATGTGATTCTGCAATTGGACAACACTTTCTGAGCAATCCAGAGGGTGTTAATAGCTACATTGACAACTAATTTCAGTCAAGCATACGGCTTAGTTAATTTGATAAAAGTGACATGCTTTCACAGGAAAGGACTCATGTCCTACAAACGAAAGGAATATAGTCAGTACTTTTGCCGAGTTATCCACAAGCTCCGGAAATCTATAGTTCCCTGTTGCTTTCTCCGTAGCAACACTTAAGTCAATCAGAGTTGCCTTAGGAATCAATCGGTACCTTTTCTAAACAGTATAAGTTGTGATTGTTTGAAATTCGGCATTCTTGTGTCTGTCTGTGTGACTGAGGAAAGGGTGAAGCTGCAAAACCCTGTGATTAATCACTATGCATAGCCAGCTGCAATTGTCAATCCACTCAGCTTCTGCTCATTGTGGGGATTTTCACATTTAAGTGTGCGTGAGTGAAGACTCTGCTTTTAACAACTTTGAAACCCTTCAACTTATTGGTCACCATGACTCATTGCTTGGTGACTGCTTCAGTTCTATAAAGTATTTATTGAAAACTGCCTTTCACTTTACAGTGTTCCAATGTTTACAATTTAAATTATCATCTTCAAATGGATTATACCTTGAAAATTTGTTATCACTGATTCTAGAACTATATGACACAGCATGATAGATCTTCTCAGCATTTGCTCCAATATTGGATACTGCAGAAGGAAAAAGCACTTCTTAATATCCTGAAGTAAATGATATTTTTATAAGGAAAGGAGCATTTTCCTTGTTCACTGCCCAAAGTGGTGGGGAATATTTCGATCCAAACATATTAAAACAAGTATTTAATTGGTGTATATTCCTGTCATTGTCCATGAAACCCCTTTTTTCAATCTCATTTGGTTGCAAGTTATTATAGATGTCAATCAGATGAACCCAGAGAATGCCACAAACAGACTCATAAATCTTTTTCAACTTTATTGCATTTGTGTGCATTGGTAACTATTTACTGGAAGGGATTAATGTAAGAGTGAGGAAGTGGGAAGCATTCTGTTGGAAGCCATATTCAACATTTCTCACACCAGGTCACTTAAAAATTCAAACTGTTCCTGTCCCTCCCTCTCTCTTCAGTTATTTAAATAGAAATTACCTTATGAAAGATCTGCAGAATAAAAATGCAATAATGTTTATTATAAATTATTTCAACAACAGAAAATGCTGCAGTGTGTTCTGTCTGATAGTGAAATGTCTCATCTTTAAACATTGGCCTCTTGCTGTTTCATACTGTAAAACTAAAAATCATTTCTGATTAATTGTCCTATCAAGTTGAACCTATGAAACAGAAGTAGAGTCAGACTATTTGGCCCCTCATGCCTTCTCTGTGATTCAATGAGATACTGGCTCAACTGCTTGTGTTTTGAATTCCATATTCACATCTACAGAATAACCCTTCCTTCAATGAATGTCTATGTCCACTTTAAAAGTATTCGGTGGTCCTGCCTTTATTGCCTTCTGAGGCAGAGAGTTCCAAAGTTGCACAACCCTCTAGGGAAAAAAATAAAATTGCTCCTCACCTGTGTCCTGAAAGGGCAATTGCTAATTTTAAAATCCCTAGTTTGGGACTCTCCAATAAGAGGTAACACTCTTTCAATGTTCACCTTGTCAAAAACCAGTCAGGATCATATATACTTCAATCAGGCTTCTAAACTGCACTGGAAACAAGTCCAGAGTGTTTAACCTATCCTTGGAAGGCAACCTGCTAACTCCAGGTACCAATCTAGAAAAGTTCCTCTGAACTGCGACCTATGTATTTAAATCTTTCCTTGAATAAGGAGACCAAAACTGCAAACAGCATTTGGGATGCACTGTATAATTGAAGCATAGCATCCTTACTTTTATTTTCAATTTATCTTTTAATTAAGGGTAGCATCTCATTAGCCTTCTCGGTCACATGTTGTACCTGCAAACTAATTTTTTCTGATTCGCACCACAACACCTAAATCTCCCTTACTCTTAGAATTCTGTGGCCACTATGTTTAAATAATACTATGCTTTTTAAAAAAATGTTGGCCAAGTGAGCAGCTTCATATGTGCCCACATTATACTCCCATCAGTCATATTTTTGCCCACCCACTCAACTATCTGTATACATCTACGACTTTCTCAAGTCTTCCTCACATCATACCTTCTGACTTACCTTGGTGGCAATGATTGGTTTCAATGATCTTCCACCTGAAAATGAATGCAATAGAACTTGCTCTGATTAAATAACCTTAGAATTTGAAAAAATTTCTGTTAATTTGTGTGCTGTCTTTCTGATAGTTCCAGCTCTGTTAAATTTGGAATTTAGTCTCATAAATTTCACAAATATTCTTTGGAGAACCAAAGTCCGTCTTTGTGCTGACTGATAACACTGCCCTAGCTGTGAAACATGGCAAGGTAGAAGGAGCGTACAGGGTTCACCTCAAGTTCATGTACAGTAGCTCTGTGACAGGTTCTTGAGAGTGCAATACCAAGCTATTGATGGGTTTGAATGATTTGACTGCTGGTAAGATCATCTTTAAACTATTGAAAACATGATTGCAGTGCACCATGTCGTTGTTTGGATGCCTTCCTATCATCATTCTTTAAATATTAACCTGAGCCAGAGGCATATCAATAATATGCTCTTCATTGAAGGGTCAACTTTGCCTTGTGTTGTGGCATTTCTGCAGCAGTCAATAGGTTTACCGTCTCCCTTGTTCGTACTTGACTTGCATTCACTGCTTCGTCTTTAAAGTTTTCGCCTTTTCTTCCTCTTGACAGGACCACCAGCATTTTTCTATCACTTCTTGGCCAAAATGTGTCCCTCAACCCACACAAAATAGATTACTTGGTCACCCACAACTTTGCTATTTACTGTTTGTAAATTGGCTGCCATATATTACAACAGTGACTACACTCCACATTTACTTCACTGACTTTAAAGCTCATTTGGGCATCCTGAGAAGGTCTGCTATGAAAGTGTAACATTTACGTAAAAGACATAATTCAAACAGGAATATGGTACCTGTCCCCTCAAGCCTGCTTCACCATTCAGTAAGATCACAGTCGGAGCTGCTATGTTCATTTTTGCGAATCTGCCCAAGACCGTAAGAAATTACAGAGTTGTGAACGCAGCCCAGTCCATCACGAAAACCAGTCTACCTTCCATTGACTCCTACACTTCACACTGCCTCAGGAAAGCAGTCAACATAATCAAGTACCCCCTCATCCCAGTTATATTCTCTTCCACCCTCTTACATTGGGCAGAAGATACGAAAAACACGTACCAACAGAAATAAGAACAGCTTCTTCCCCTTTGTGATCAGACTTATAAACGAACCTCATGTATTAAATGGAGTTGATCTTTCGCTGCGCCTTCTGTGCAACTGAGCCACTATATTCTGCATTCTGTTCTATTACCCTGATGTATTTATGAAAAGTATGATTTGCCTAGATAGCATGCAAAACAATACTTTTCACTGTATCTTCGTACACGTAACAATACTAAATCAAACCATTGGCGCGACGGGTTCTAGATGTCCTGGTACCTAATTATAAAACATTAGTTTGCTGGTAGACCAAGTAATTAGGAAGGCAAATGTAATGGTTATTAAAAGGGGTATGGAATACAGAAGTAGGGAATATTAACTGCAGCTGTACGGGGTGTTGGTAAGACTATTTCTGGAACTTTGCATACAATTTGGTCTGCTTACTTGAGAAAAAAGATAGCATTGCTGTCAAAGCAGTTCACAAAAAGAAAATTGCTTGACCCATTCCAGGGATATAGGATTTGTTTTATGAAGAAAGATTGGATAGATTGGCCCTTTATCCATTGCACTTTAGAATAATGAGGTGATGAAATTGAAAGATATAAGATCCTCAGAACTGGATACTGGAAGAATGTTTCCTCTTGTAGGATAGACTAAAACTAGATGACATTGTTTAAACTTAAGAGCTCTCTATTTACAGTTGTCTTCCTCAGAGATCAGTGGAGGCTGGGTTATTGGAATTTATTCAAGGTTGAGTTAAGAGGTTTTTGAAAGACAAGTCAAGGGTTAGAGAAGGGGCAACCAAGTGGAGCTGAGACCACAACCTGATCAACCATGAACTTATTGATTGGTGAAGTAGGCTTGAAGGACCAAGTTGCCTTCTGCTTCTCCTAAGCTTTATGTTTCCAATTTCATCCGATATCCCTTAATTATCTTAATGGTTGGAAATTTATCAACCATTGTCTTGGATATGCTCATCAGTGGAACATAGCTATCTGCAAGTAGAGAATTCTGAAGATTCGCAACACTGAGTGAAGGAATTTCTCCTCATCTCAATTCTAATAGCCTACCTCTTATCTTGAGACAATGCTACCTAATTTCAGACTCTTCACCCAGGGAAACAACTCTCAGCATCTGCCCTGTGAAACTCCTTAAGAATTTTACATGTTTCATTGCAATTGCTTCATTCTTCTAAACTCCATGAAATATGAACCAAATCTACTCACTGTCACCTCACAGGGCAAGCTCCTGAGCCCAGAACCCAGTTCAGTTAATCTTTACGATTCTCCTTCCCTCCCATTTATTACCTTCTATTAGTAAGGAGACCCTTTATTCTTCATTCTAGACTCTCCAGTCAAAAGGCAGCAGCCCCACTGTAGCAAAATACTGCAGATCCTGTAAATTTGAAATAAAATGCTTGAAATACTCAAGCCGCATCTGTAGAGAAAGGAACAGTTAACGTTTAAGGTTCCATCATCACAACTCTCAGCATCAACCCTGTCAAGCTATATATATTTCAATGACTTGGTTCTTCTAAATTCCAGAGAATATAATTCCAGTCTATTCAATGGAGATACAGTGGTCTAGTGGTAGTGTCACTGGACTAGTAATCCAGAGCCCCAAAGTGATTCTCTGGAGACATGGATTTAAATCCTACCACAACAATTTAAATTCAGTTAATTAATAGAAAAATCTGGAATTAAAAGCTGGTCTCAGTAATGGTGACCTCACCAATGACCACGAATTGTTGTAAACAAAGCATCATCTGGTTCACTAACATGCTTTAGGGAAGGAAATCCACTATTTTTACCCAGTCTGGCTTAGATGTAACTCCAAATCTACAGCAATGTGTTGACTCCCGACTGCCTTTGCCACTCAGTTCAAGCGCATCTAGGGATGGGCACAAAATGCTAGCTTTGCCAGCAATAGTTATATCCCCTTAAGGAATGAAGGGAAAAGAAGCTGTCTCCATATGACAATTATCTTATTGCAAGAAAGGAAAGATAATTTCTGATCAAATAGTTGTGGGTATGGAACTTGAGTTTTGCTGCATGAAGACACTTTGTCAATCTTTTCATCCTGCATTGATCAGAATATTTCAGAAGAATACCAATTCAAGGGGAAAAAGCAAAATTCATACTGTATGGCAGGAAGGTGCAGATTGGTTGGTAGATGGACGCTGATTGGTAGAGGCATTGCTATGCAGAATGTATCCATTAATGCTGATTGACAGTGAAAAACAAGGCTTTGTTGAAACTCTAAGCCAGGCAGGTTGACTCTGATTGTCAAACCCTGGCTATTAATTGTCAATCAGTATAAATGGGGATATTCTCCATGGTGACATCTCTACCAATCAGAGTTGACTTCCCAACCAATCAGCACTCTCCTCTTATACCGTATAAAAATGTTAGCTTTCTGCTTGAACCAGTATTCTTACAAATTGTTCTGATAAGTGCAAGACAGAATGCAACACTCAAATCATCAGATTACTGCAGAAACTTCACGCACTTCAGTTTATTTAAGTCCCCTGCAACCACAGAAAAGCACGCCCCACAGTAAACTACGTCAAAGGCAAATCTCTGGCACATTGAGAATTTTGATGTTTTGACCCAAAGGGCATTTTCAATTCATTTTCTTTAAAATTTTACAATTGAAACAGCACACAAACTCTAAATTATGTGGGAATTAAATGAACTCAGCAATTGGATCTGGTTTTAAGTGGCTAATAGAAATGTATTATTTGTCTACATTAATCCCTTACTTTATAAAACTTAATTAGATTATAAGTACATGAGAATATAATGAACTCAACCTAACAACAAATGATCTATGGGCATTAATACAAAACCAAGAGGGCAATAGACCTTTCATTTCTTTTTGTAAATTAAGGATAATTTATTTGTATGCTGGAAATTATTGATTGTGTAATATTTTTACTATTTTATACTTTATTTCTCAGTTCAATAATTGCCTATGACTGTTACAAGTTATGATATCTTGTTTAATTTGTATTGTCCTCACAATTCTACAGGTGACACCACGATAATCTTCAAGAAACCATTCCATTTGAGGAACTGGGGTTTGTACAATCTCTTGAGGCTAATAAACACAATGTTAAAATGGGTTCAGCATATATATGTTTTATATATATGGTGAAAAGACACTCCTTGATCTGTCTGAAACTCGTTGGTCTTCCAATGTCCCTGACGAACTGTTACAGACTGGCGCATTCCAAGGTCCATGGCTAGTGCTGAGGAAAGCATGAAAGTGTGGGGTGAATCTGTTCCCACTGTCTAAAGCCTTCCGGCTTTCATATATGAATGCATATCTACATAAATTGATTTGATCTATTACTGTCATGTGTACTGAGTTACAGTGAAAAGTGTTATCTTACTTGCTTTACAAGCAGATCGAACTATACAAGTGCTTTAGTGTAACAGAACAGAGTGCAGGATATGGCGTTACAGAGAGAGATCAACATTAACATTAAAGAGGTCCATTCAAAAGTCTAATAACAGTGGGGAAGAAGCTGTTCTTGAATCTGTTCGTATGTGTATACAAATATTTATATTCTCTACCTGACAGAAGAGGGTGAAAGAGAGTATAACCAAGTGGGAGGGATCTTTGATTATGGTGGTTGCTTTCCTGATGCAGCGGGAAGTATAGATGAATCACTGGACAGGAGGCTGGTTTGTGTGATGGACTGGGCTGTGTTCACAACTCTCTAGTTTCTTTCAGTCTTGGTGAGAGCAGTTGCCATACTATTCTGTGATGCTTTCTATGGTGAATCTATAAAAATTTGTAAGAGTCTTTATAGAAATGCCAAATTTCCTCAGTCTCCTGAGGAAGTAGAGGCATTGCTGCGCTTTCCTGCCCATAGTGGCAACGTGTATAGACCAGGATAGATTGTTGGTCACTCCCAGGAACTTGACGCTCTTGACCATCTCCACTTCAGCACCATTTGATGCAGACAGGGGTGTGTCTTCCACTCCGTTTCCTAAAGTCAAGGACCAACTCCTTCATTTTGCTGACGTTGATGGAGAGATTATTGTCTTTACGCCATGCCGATAAGCACTTTATCTCCTGCGTTTTTTTGAGATCTGACCTACAATAGTGGTGTCATCAGCAAACTTGTAAATGGAGTTGGTGCGGAATTTGGCCACCCAGTCATGAGTGTATAAGGAGTATAGTAGTGGGCTGAGTACCAAGCCTTGCGGGGCACCAGTATTCAGGATTATTGTGGAGAAAGTTTTTTGCCTATCCTTACTGACTGCAGTCTGTTGGTCAGGAAGTCAAGAATCCAGTTACAGAGGGAGGAGCAGAGAAACCTAGGTCTCCGGAGTCTGTAGATGAGTTTGTTTGGAATTACGGTATTGAAGGCAGAGCTGTAGTCAATAATTGGGAGCCTGACATAGGTATTCTTGTTATCCAGATGTTCCAGGGATGAGTGTAGGGCCAGGCAGATAGCATCTGCCGTGGACCTATTGTGATGGTAGGCCGCTTAGGGATCAAGGCAATTTGGTAGGCTAGGGTTGATGTGAACCATGACCAACCTCTCGAATCACTTCATAATGGTGGACATCGGAGCCACCGGGTGGTAGGCATTGAGGCTCGCTGCATGATTTTGCCTTGGCATTGGTGGTCTTCTTGAAGCAGGTGGGAACTTAAGATTGTCATAAGGAGTGGTTGAGTGGCAAATACTCAGACAGAGCTTATGTCTGTTTCCATAGCTAGATTTTTTTCTGGAACAAGTCTCTAACCAATCATCAGTGGTTGTAGCTTCAAGAGTGCCACTCCACATCCAGCATGGACTCTCCTGGAAAGATTTATAGTCGATAAACAACGACATTTTGGCCATATTATAGGCTGGGACCTTTTTCATTGGAGTGTATGAGGTTGAGGAATGACCTTATAGAGGTTTATAAAATCAGGAGGGGTATAGATAAGGCGAATGGCAGGTGTCTTTACCCTAGGTTGGGGGGATTCAAGACGAGGGGAGATATTTTTAAGGTGAGAGGAGAAAGATTTAAAAAAGAGTGGCAACTTTTTTGCACGGAGAGTAGTTCTTGTGTGGAATGAACTTCCAGAGGAAGGATGCTGGTACAGTTACAATGTTTAAAAGACATTTGGATAAGTACATGAATAAGAAATGTACGGAGGGATATGTGCCAAGGGCAGGAAAGTGGGACTAGTTTAGTTTGGGTTTATGGTTGGTATGGACTGATTGGACCAAAGGGTCTGTTTCTGTGCCATATGACCATGACACACATCCACAGTCAACAGACCCTGGAAACTCTGGTTCAGAGGCAAGGACACTACTCACTGCACCACAAGACATCCTCTACGTAGTAAACATCACTGTGCTACTGCCTTCCATATTGGGAATGATTGATAAGTGCCTGTTCTTTGGGAATGGTTGAGACTGACCTGATAGAAGTCTTCAAAATTATGAACAATATATGCAATACCAGTCAAAGCCCTTTGGAAGAGAGTTGGATAATCATCAGAAGAGAAAAACAAATGCTTTGCTTCAAAAGGCAGAGAAACACAATTAGTGAACTGCCCTTGCAAAGGGGCCAGCAATGACAAGACAGACCAAATGGCCTCCTTCTGTGCTGTAATCATTCTGTGATTGTATGTACTTTTTAAATTCCTCAATAAAATATTAAAGATTACGAATCTTCTGGAGATCAAACCTTCTGGTTGATCAAAGTTCAAAATCATTCACTCATTCTGAATCTCTTCTGATCCTTCACACCCCTTTCTGAATTTTTTTTTCAGGATCCCTGAAATTCAATTTAAACTTAAATGTCAACACACTGTAAAAATCACACTTCAATACAAACCACACTGAAATGACTGCAGCAGAGGCCAGTATCCCATCACCAAGTCACCCTTTATTTACTTGTGCACAGTACACTGGCTGTGACCAGCCAGCTCGGAGTCAGTCCCTGAGGAGATTCTACATCTCCTGTTTATATTGGTCAGCCAAGGCTTTCCTGTTTGGTCCATGTTAACAACCCTAATCGAGGATCTCATAGTCAATGAGATCCATTCAGTTCCAATCACCACACATACAAAGTTTAATATTGAGATTTATTCTTTGCAAACTTTTTGAAAGACTTGGAATTTGTATTTGATGCCATTTTCCTCTTGGATTTCACTTGGAACTCCAGGAAACCTAAACACAAAGATATTACATGAAATGCCACAGACCTGTCAGAAACACTGATGCTTACTTCTTGTAAACCACAAGGTAAACATAAAGGGAGTTAAACGGTATCAGGACAAACAAGAATATAGAATTGAGGTGGCAATAAGATCAGCCATGATCTTATTAAATCTTACCAAATGGTCTACTCCTGCTCTTAATCCGTATGTTCTTAGCTGTATTCCACTTTTGTAAAACTAATTTCCACAGTCTTTCACAAACAAAAAGGCAGATTTTAAGGAGTCTTTTGAAGGTCAGAGATTTGAAAGATTTTTGGGACAGAATCTCAGAGCGTGGAGACAAGATGGTTGAACTCCCTTTTCACTGAAAGTAGACAGGAAGAGAGAGAGAGGAGCAATGCCTCTGAAATTGAGAGCACTTTGAACAGGAATTCCATGCAATGGAGAATACCCGAGGTATGGTGCTGGGAGCTCAAAGGTGGTGAGAGAGCCTATTCAGCCCAATCATCCTGGGAGTTTTCCCAAGCTTTCCTTGATCAACAGCTATTTTGGGATTTGGTGGAAGCCCTTTGACAGTATGTATCTGGGCTTTGCATCAAAGTTCTCTCAGCCAATTGGGAAGACTCTCCAGGAAATTCTCAATATAATGTCCTCCAGCATGGGGCCTAAACTTGTCTTAACATCAGCCCTAATACTTGCCTTATCTCGAATGTATATCTGTGTTCCACTGTCCTGCCAAATGAACCTGCCTTTGTATGAGGATTAACCATTCCTATTCCAGTTAGTATCATATCTCACCGTGAGGGTCCTGCCTCAATTAAATCCTTTCAAATGTGAGCCAAATTTTCTACTCTTTCCTCCTCCCTCGGTCTTTGACAGAGTAACCGACCTCACTTTGCCACCCTTTTCCCGACCCCAAAAATTATGTTTCCAATGTATTCCCAAAGACCCAACTATGGAACCACGGTGCAGAATATCCTTGGAGAAACAGGCAATGTGACTCGATCAGTCCACTCCGCATTTTATATAATGCTGTTCTGACTGGCATCGCCCTTCAATCTCTTTCAGCCTCTGCTAGAGATAGTTCCAAATCACTCATTCCATGTGAAATATCATCTGCACTCTGTAAAAACAGCCTTAGCATCAATGCCTTTGGTTCTCGTATTCTCTGTGAAAGCCTGTGGCAGACTGATCCACAAAGACTGACAGATGAGTTTTGAGTAGGTGAGGCAGAGAGTGATAACGTTGTGACTCAACATATTAAATGTCGGCTGATCTTAATCCCCACCTACACCAGTTTTCACATTACCAAGACAACCCTACTGATGCCGCTCATGTTGCCCCTCCCTCCACGGACTCCCCACTCAAAGTCACTAGAATCCATCTGCCCCATCTCCTCAAATCCCCTATCCCCAGTATCACAAGTCCCATGGTCAAAGTGTCCCATACTTCATTTCCAAGGATCTGGTGATCCTGACCTGGGACATCTCTGATAAAGCAAAGGAAAGATTTTGATGCTTACTCATCAAGCAGCTTAAACGTGTCCTGGTCAAACTTTGGGAAGAAGGTGTCACAGTTGAATTCAGCCATGATATTTGTGAGGTAGATCTGATCGCAGTTTGGATGCTTCATGGCCTCCTGTGAACAGAAAGTAAAAAGTGATTAATAGCATTACAATCCTTTTATTCTTTCTGGAAACATGGGCTAACATTTTGTTGCCCATCCCTAATTGCCCTTGAACTGAGACCCTTGCCAGCCCATCACTTTTGCCATCACTGAATCCCCCACTATCAACATCCTGGGAGTTATTGATCACAAACTCAACGGGACTCACCACATAAATGCAGTGGCTACAAAAGCAGGTCAGAGGTTAAGAACACTGCAGCGAGTCACTCACCTCCTAACTCCCCAAAGCCTGTCCACCATTTACAAGGCACAAGTCAGGAGTGTGATGGAATACTCCCCACTTGCCTGGATGGGTGCAGCCCCAACAACACTCAAGAAGCTTGACACCATCCAGGACAAAGCAGCCTGCTTGATTGGCACAACATCCACAAACATCCATTCCGTCCACCGCCGACACTCAGTAGCAGCAGTGCGTACTATCTACAAGATGCACTGCAGAAATTCACCAAAGATCCTCAGACAGCACTTTCCAAAACCACTACCACTTCCATCCACAAGAACAAGGCAGCAGATAAACGGGAACACCACCTTCAAGTTCCCCTCCAAGCCACTCACCATCCTGACTTGGAAATATATCGCCGTTCCTTCACTGTTCTGGGTCATAATCCTGGAATTCCCTCCCTAATGGCATTGTGGGTCAACCCACAGAAGGTGGACTGCAGCAGTTAAAGAAGGCAGCTCACCACCACCTTCTAAAGGGCAACTAGGGACAGGCAATAAATACTGGCCAGCCAACAATGCCCACATCCCACAAAATGAATAATTTTTTAAAAATCCATTTCAGAGGGTAGTTGAGTCAACTACATTGCTGAGGAGTCACATGTAGACTAGTCCAAGCAAAGGCAGCAGATTTCCTTACCTAAACGCCATTGCAGTACCAGTCAGGCAACATTAGACTAGCTTTTAATTCCAGCTTTATTCACGGATTTCAAATTTCACCCTCTGTCGTGGCAGCATTTGAACTCCAGGTTGTTAGCCTGGGCCTCAACATTATCCAGGCTAGTGAAACTGTTATTGATATCATCATATCCCCTCACAGCACAGGATCTTTTAAAAGATCTTTATGATGGTTACTGTAAAATGTATAAAGAGAGCTTCCTTCCTGGAGCAAATTACTCAATGACATGATTAGTTCCTGATTACACAGTGGAAAATAATTGCTCACAATTTTGTAAATAAGTTAGTTCAGCACAACATTAAAGATCAATCTCTAACCAGCTCCACCTGTTTGGCTGGGGCAATGGAGCAGGGGTTAATATTTCAGGGAATTATTAGGGCCAGGTTAATGTTCTCATTTGTTTTGGTTTCCAAGTAGGGATTGCAGCAATCACATACTCCTGGTGAAGTGTAATGCTTTATATTGTGATATACAAGAACAATGAAAACAGGAAAATGAAAAGAAGTGAGTTGGGTCAGATCGATTGGAAAACTGTAATACGTTCTGACTCACATGGAAGGAGTGCATTGTCTTTCTCTTGTCCTGCTACTTAATGGGTTGCACCTTTGTTTTACCCAGTTCTCAATAAGGTCAATTGTACGCTTTCTCTAAATTAGATTTAAAATAAAGGGATTCATCAACCATGTTTCTTCAATAAACTCAAAATTATTGATGTATCAAAAAACAAATCATATTCAATGAAGATGCAATAACTGGTTAATACAGTTTGTAATATGAAAATAGAAATGATTACTTCTCTAAATATTCCCCCCACAAACACTCACTCATCCAAAAAAGGAAGGTAATTATTTCTCTATGCACAGATTCTTTTGGCCAACACATTTTGGATTTTTCAAGTTAAAAATATAAAATGTAGAGTATTTAGATGTATGGCTGGATGAACACAGCAGGCTGTGTTCATCCAGCCCTGCACCTTGTTGTCTCGGATTCTCCAGCATCTGCAGTTCCTACTATCTCTATTTAGATGTATGTTAGTCTAGCACTCTATCAGATGTAGTGGTCGTGATCAAACAAATACAGGGTTTCTGGCAGATGCTGCTTGCTCAGAAAATGCAGTATTGAGAAGTATTCCAGTTGTTTTTCAAAGAGGACAATTAGTTTTCACACTGGTTTCACAGCAAAGGTGCTTCCGAAACTACAGCTGAACAACCTGTTCCTTCTTACAGGTTTCCTCAAGGAAATATCAAAATCATCTCCAAACTTGCAGGACTCTGTTCAAATAGAACAGCCATAAAATCCAGTACAGTCAGATGCTTTCCCTGGTGAGGTCAAGCAACAAAGATCAGTAACTATCTAGAGCCATGTGGTTTCAAAGAAATACCTTGTTAAGAAAAATCCAACAGGTCTTTCCATTGACCTTTTCTCTTTAAAAAAAGAATGAGGTATCTCCACAATTCTGCAAACTCACATCCACAAAAATCATTAAACATGAAGACATTATAACAATTAAAAGATAAGTTGATGTACAGTGGCAAACATTCACTGGACAAATAAATGGGTCTTTCAATCAACAAATCCACAGGACCAAATGGTGCACAACTCAGGGTTTTAAAAGAAGAGGTGGATGCAGAGAAAGTGCAATTTTTGGTCATCCAAAATTCCCTGGATTCTAGAATAATCCCCATGGATTAGAGGTAGCTAATGTATACCCTCTAATCAAGATAGGGGAGTGAAATAAACCAGGGAACTGTAGACAGTCAGCCTAACAGCAGCATAATAATAAAAAAAACTGTACATGCCAGTGATCTGGAATAAGGCCAGAGAATGTGAAAAATACTCAGCAACTGTGAAGAGAGAAACAAAGTTAACATTTCGAGTCCAACATGATTCTTCTTTTTGAATCTGAAGGAAGGTTAAAAAGTGATGAGTATTAAGCTTCTGAAAAAGGGATGAGGGTCAACAGTACCAAGGGGAAGGTCAAAGATAGGTTATAGAGTGGAAGTGATTAAACAACAAAGTCATCATGGAACAAAAGGCAAAGGGCACAAGTGTAGTACAGAAACAAAGCATTAGTACAGAAACAAAGCATTGGTCCCGAGTCAGAGGTTCTTCCAGCATAATATCAGCTCCTTTGAAGAGCTAAAACATGAGAACAAGATACAGATGGACACTCTTGGGAACAAAAAACAAAATGGAGGACAGAATTCATTGCTGAAGTTACCAAACCTACCGTTGAGTCCAGAAGGCTGTACACAGTCTTATCAGAAATCGAAGCGAAGACAAAGATGGGAAAGATGGGCCTCATATCAGTCATAGGCGAAATTTTAGAATCAGTTATTAGTGACGTAGTACCAGGACATTCAGAAAATCTTAACATGACTGCACAGAGTCAACATGGACTTATGAAAGGAAAATCATGTTTAGCAAATCTGTTGAGAATTGTTTCGCGACTGTAACTAGAAAGGTGGATAGGGGGAATGTTTCTTTCATTGCGCTTCAGTGAGACTAGCCCTGAAGCACTGTGTCCAGTTTCAGTCTCTCTACCTATGGAAGGACATACTTGTCTTAGAGGGAGTGCAACAAGGATTCATCTTCTGCCATGTGGTGATTATCCTACAAGAAGGGATTGAATAGACTCAGCATGTATTCATTAAAATTCAGAGAAATTATTGCATTGAAACATCCAAAATTCTTAAGGAGTTTGCCACGTCAGTCTATTCAACCAGCCTGTCTCTTCAAATCTATCAACATTCTCCTTGCAGTTGGTAATATTTTCAAGTCTTCTGGAGTCTGCAAATTTTGAAATGGTACTCTTTACTCAAGCCTAGGTTCTTTAATACAGGAGGGTCACAGTGATTGTAGGACAGGAAGAGAGTGGTTGAATGAAAACAGGCCAGCTTATCACCTGAGTTTACAAGTTTCTCCAGTGTATCTGGAGAAAGCACTGGTTTTAGCACAAATTCCATATATTGTGATGGTGTCATCACCCCAAAGAGCAGCAGGGCAACTAAACTGCAGAACTTTTTTTTAATTCATTAATGGGATGAGGGCATTGCTGGTGAGGCAGCATTTATTGCCCACAGGGCAGTTCAGAGTCAACCACATTGTTGTGGGTCTAGAGTCACACGTAGGCCAGATCTGGTGAGGATGGCAGTTTCCCTCCCTAAAGAATATTAGTGAACCAGATGGGTTTCCACCATCTGCCATGGCAGGATTTGAACCCGGGTCCCCAAAACATTATCTGGGTCTCTGCATTAATAGTCCAGCGATAATGCCACTAGGCCATCGCCTCCCCCTGACACAACCCAATCTGATAAACACTTGTTTCAAACATTTTTCACATCTTTACCTCAAAGGGTTTGACACCACCTATGACCCATAGAATTTCAATCTCTTCATTTAGAGGTGGCTCTGAAGCAAGTTGAATAGCACTGGGAAGGTCTCGGCAGAGATAGTCTGCATTCTCAGGCACCGAACTGATCAAAAAAAAAAGTCAAAGTCACTCATGTTCCTGGATACATATATAACTTATAAATTTAAATCATTCTTGAAGCATTTACCTGCTTTTAAATAAATGCCACATATGATTTTGCTGTCAATTTTCATTTCTCCGATCAATGAACAAAGAACTAAGTAGGAGATGCTTTAGTCTCAGTGGCTCTGGAAAATTAAAGTAAAGGCATTTTTGCTTCAATTAGCAAGCAGATATAAGCTGGTTTTGTTTTTACAAGGGACGTTTGTAATCAAAAAAATAAGCTTTGCTGAGAAAGAAGATGAGCTACTGAAGCTCATCAGGACTGGTGCAAGAATACCAAATTTCAACAGGATGAACAATTTGTATGGCATGAGAATGAATGCTGATTGAGAATTTGAGTGTTGTCAACCAAAGAAATAAATTCTTTTGGAACATGTTTTATCCAGTATAGTTTAGATTGGTATAGTTTAGATTGGTATAGTTTAGACTGGTCCTAGATAGCACCCCAATTCAATTGTTCAAAATGTAGGCTCTCCAAGGTAGTATAGTGTCATGGGTTAGGTGCAGCTTTGAGTTCCAAGTTGGCACTTGCTGATAATGATGAGCCAGCCGATCCGATCTAACTGACTTCCTCAGTTAATCAGGGCAGCTCCATCTCCAGCAGACCTCTTAACAGGTTCGATCTTTCATAAAGTAAAGAAATGCCTGGCCATCGTCGTGGAGGGAAAGCCCCAGTACCAGGTGGTTCACCACACCCTGTGGAAGTGGGGAGTGAATATGAAAAACCTTGTAGATGCCAGGCACTTGACAGGCTTTGGTCTCACCAGGGGTACAACTTGACATCCACTGGATGCTCTAACCCCTTTCCCACACCACCACACCCCTCACCACCCCACCGCTCCCCCCGCCCAACAAGTCTGCCAACAAATCGGCATTTGGTTAAAAAATGTGCTGGAGGCAGTCCAGGGAGGTTTACTAGGCTGACACTTGGAATGGGGCACATTGACAATGAGGAAAGGTTGGACAGGCTAGGTTTATATCCATTGGAGCGCAGAAGAGAGAGAGGCAACTTAACTGAAACCTACAAAATCCTGAAGGGTCTTGACAGGGTGGATGTGGAGAAGATGTGGAAGAATCTAGAACTAAGGGTCACTGCTTAAAAGACAGATTAGGCAAAGTTTTTGCCTCAAAGGGTCATGACTCTTTGGAACTCTCTCTCTGAAAAGGTGGTTGAAGCAAAAGCCTAGACTAGTTTTAAGAAAAAGGTTGACAGATTGTTGATATGCAAAGCATGCAAGGTTATTAGGAGTAGGGGGAATACAGATTTGAGGTTACAATTAGATCAGCTCTGATCATATTGAGTGGCAAAGCAGTCTCATGGATCCAAATGGTCTATTCCTGCTCCTAATCCGGATATTCGTAAATGAACTAGCTACTGCTGCCGGAGGCGGGTAAACACTGCCAGTTTTCTTTGTCTGCAGCAAGATCCTCTAGCAATAGCAACACGTTGACCAATCTACCAGTGCTAACCTTTCCCACATTCATCCCAGGCCTCCCTTCAAGTTTCCCTCACTGTGGGACTGGGGAGACCCTGGCCAATGGGTAAGATTTTCTCACTCAAAACCTGCCCATGTAGAACCACGTTGGGCCCATAGTAACTTCAAACTCCCTAATAGCTCAGAGTGCTATCTGAACATGGGAGTTAATCCTGTGTATAAGGGTAATCCCTGACACAGAGCAGGTCACCCATTGGTTAAGTCCATTTCAAGTGTCAACTTCTTGGCATTCTCCTCTGAAGTACAGCCAATTTCTGAAGGTAAAGTTTGATTATTATATCAAAGGGCAATGACCATCTGACCTTTAGCCCCAATTTTCATCCGAGATCCAAAAATAGCTCCTATTTTGCACTTGGAATTTAGGGCCAGGGATCCAGGAGGTGTTGATAATTTCAACAGCTTTGACAAGGAAAGGAAGGTTAGTAACAGGCTGTTGTTTAACAGCTGAGGTGAAAATAGCCAACACTTTAACCAATTCACTATACAGCCCTTTAAGAATATACCTTGCTAAGTTTTCAGGGCTCACACTCCACCCTTGGACTTCAACTTATCACTTTCCCAGTAAAGAGAATGAAGGCTGGATCTTTTATCTCCTGTGTAAGCCCATTTTTCTCCATTTCAAGCCTCATACAACTTACCTCAATGTTCTGCTTAAAACAACACAATAGCAGTTTGGCAAAGATAAATTGCCCTTGATGGCACTTCCTTTACCATAGATGACAAAATTCTTCTTGCCTGAAATTGAAATAATGTAAAATGACATCCACATTCTCTATTTCAATCAAGTTGACAGCTTAATTTAGAAATACAGAAAGGTCACAGAACTGAAAGCCATTTGTTCAGCTCATCATGTTTATGCAAACTACTTCCAACACAACTAGTCCTACCACCCTATCAGTGCTTCTCTGCAATTTTTCTCCATTCAGGTGTTACTCCAATCCCTTTTTGAAAGCCACAAGTTCATCTTCCTTCACCAAACTCTCAGGCAGTGCATTCCAGACTTTAATCATTTGCTGTTTACAAACTTTTTTCTCATGTGTCCCTTGCCTCTTTTGCCGTTCATCTTAACTTGGTGCCTACTGATTCTAAATCCTCCAGCCAATGACAGCATATTCTTTTTTCCTATCTGTTCTGTCTAGACCCCTCATGATTAAGACCATAGATGTAGGAGCAGAAGTTGGCCATTCAGCCCACCGAGACTGCTCTGCCAATCAATGAGATTTCCATCAGTTTGCTAATCCTCAACTCCACTTTCTTGCCTTATCCTCATAACACTTGATTTCCTTTCTGTCTAAAAATCTGTCTTGAATATACTTTAATGACTCAACCTCAACAGCTTTCTGTGGCAAATAAACACCTCGATTAAATAGCACCTCAGCTCTCTGAGATGTGCAGCCCCTAGATTCTCCAAGCTATCCACTAGAGTCTTTCATTCCTGCAGACACTCTACTGAATACTCTGTGCACCCTCTCTAAAACCTTTACAACCTTCTTGAAGTGTGATTACCCCAGTTGAGGCTTAACCAGTGTTTTATAAAGGTTTACCATAATCTCTTTGCTTTTACACACCGGTGTCCCTATTTATAAAGTGCAGGATGCTAAAGACCTTACTAATTTCTTTGCCACCTTTAATGACTTAATGCTCATATTTCAGTTGCTAGTTGATTTGAGGTGTTCCTATCTGTCATTTCAGCTTATCAATCCTGCTGTAAAATAGCCCATTACTATCCTTCCCCTCCTCATCAAAGTTCTCGAAAACAATGGCATTTCCTGGATCCCTGGCTGCTGTCCTAAACTCCAAGCATATTGTAGCATCTGTATTTGAGATGAACTTTGGATGAAAGTTGGGGAAAATAGGTCTGACGGTCATCACCCTTTTGATGAGTTAATAACCTTTGACCACTACCTTCTAGAAGGACAAGGGCAGCAGATACATGGGAACACCACCACCTTCAAGTTCCCTTCTAAGCCACTCATCATCATGACTTGGAAATATATCTCCATTCCTTCAATGTCACTGGCCTTGAGCAGTTCAAGAAGACAGCTCATTACCACCTTCTCAAGGGTCAATAAGGATGTGCTGGTCCAACCAGTGAAGCTTACAATTCATCAGTGAATTTTTAAAAAAAGTTCACAGTCTCAATTTGGAGAGGAGTCTAAAAATGTTGAAGCTTATTATAGACTCAAACAATGGGTGAAATGGATAATCCTCTGCTCTGACACCCATTTTAGAATTGTATCCTTTGTTTTGTTTCCTCTCCTTGTTCTTCCTACCATAAGGAGTCACTGCATTTCTCTGCATTACGTTTCAACTTCCTCTCATGTCCTCAATGTCCTCTCATTCCACCCTTTGGTGTCTGCCCTCTTGAAGTCTATAGTATCCTGCTCATGCGTTTTCAATACTTCCAAATTTTGAGTCAACTGCAAATCGTGAGACTGTGCCTTGTACACCCAAATCTAGGTCATTAATATAGGTCAAGATAACAGAGGTCCTAATACCTATTCCTAGGGATCCCCAAACATTTTAGCTAGAAAGCAGGATGCTGCCTTCATAAATTTGATGAGACCAACACATCTGTACCAATGGTCTGTTTATCCTCTGGTATCAGTGAACCATTCCTAATTGCTGTAGTTGTATACCTTCTTTCTGTAATTAATTAATGCATTCTATCTAAACTGCTGCTTCTTAACAATCGCAATAAACTATCTAAAAATTGCTTATAAATGGCCGACTGTAATTGTTAGGTAACTGTGACCATGAAACTCCTAAAACCAACAGTTTCTTCCCCACAAATAACTTCATGGTCCCTAATCAGTTTAATCCTTCTTTCAAACACCCCTTTAATATTTATACTTATTATTTGGATTCTTTTTTCATGTTAGCTTTTCATACTCATTCTTTTATTTGCTTATTTCTTATTTTTCATTGGCCCCCTGAATTTACAGCATTCATCTTGATTTTCACTTGTATTACCAACTTGACATGCGTTACATATATCTTATTTTCTGTTTGGTCTATCTCTTTGTCATCAAGGGAGTTCTGGTTTTATTTACTCTGTCTAGCCACATTGTGGGAATATATTTAGGGTAGCATGGTGGTTCAGTGTTTAGCACTGCTACCTCACAGCGCCAGGGACCCAGGTTCAATTCCACCTCGGGTAACTGTCTGTGTGGAGTTTGCACATTCTCCCAGATTTCCTCTGGGTGCTCCAGTTTCCTCCCACAGTCCAAAGATGTGCAGGTTAAGTGGACTGGCCATGCTAAATTGCCCATAGTGTCCAGGGATGTGCAGGCTAGTTGGGTTAGCCATGGGAAATGCAGGAATATAGGGTAGGGTGGTGGGTCTGGGTGAAATGCTCCTCAGAGGGTCAGTGTGGATTTGATGGGCTGAATGGTCTGCTTCCACACTGTAGGAATTCTATGATATATCATTGCTAGACCTGAACGATCTCTTTTTTGAAAGGCAGCCCGTTTTTCCTGCCGATCTTTGATTCGACGGAACAAATAAATAAAAGCCAATCTAGAACATTCTTAATTGCATGGTCTGTGAAATGGTGATTCAAAGATGTTAAATGATTTGCATCTTGAATTTGAATTTTACTTGTAAAGTTGCTGAACTGGTCACCTGGTTTGTATGTGGAATGAACTGTCAGAGGAAATGGTAAAGCAGGAACAGTTACAACGTTTAAAAGATGTTTGGACAGGTACATGAATAGGAAAGGTTTGGAGGGATATCGGTCAAACGCAGGCAAATGGGACTAGTTTAGTTTGGAAAATCTGATCGTCATGTACAAGTTGGACTGAAGGATCTGTTTCCATGCTGTATGACCCTATGACTGTAGGAGATGTCAGTATTCAATACCAATTCTCTAATGTCAGACAGCAGCTGGGAATATTTCACCTGCAGTCTCTATGGGTTCCATCCTTCAGCTCAGCTTTGTTTACTGAGGGAAATTACTTTTACTCCAAACCAGTCAAATTATCACTGAGACAAAGGAATAGATAAGGAATAACGAGTCCGAAGTTATATAACTTCTCAGCAAGTATTGCGACATACCTGGATCAGAGACTGTAGTTATCTTCGAAAGAAAGTAACTAAATTCATTCCTGCAGGAGGGAATGCACAATATAATGAATATTCAGGATATAATGGGCGGGATCTTAACCACATTGAAGATAATCACAGGTCAGAACAATTCTGGGTCTTGATCCCACACTTGCCATTGGTCTATCCCCAGCATGACGTTATAGAATCCCCAATCAGGCCCTTTGAGCACTGAAATGTTTACACTGGCTACACTGGTGAAACATAGTTAGTACAAATAATTCTTATCAAAACAACTATGTAATTGAGAATGGCACCAATTCATGTCAACAGTTTTTCAGCTATGGACATCCATGAACTGTCAGTGAATTAGACCCACATACTCAAAGTTTTGGCAAAGATCTGTAGCTCGGGTTGTGGGCGAGGTTGTTGACTTGCTCGCCGAGCTGGCTTGTTCTTGTTCAGACGTATCGTCGCTATGCCAGGTGACATCTGAACGAGAACAAGCCAGCTTGGTGAGCAAGTCAACAACCAGACCCACACATATTTGAAGTATTGGACAACGTCTGGGATGCAGAATGTTTACCATGTGACTTTGGAATTTTTCGGTCAAAAGTACAACTGTGTTTTGGTTCACTCATCATTTACAAAACATCATGTTCTTTGGAAAAGTAGAAATATTTAGAGACAGAGAGAGAGAGAGAGAGAGAGAGAGAGAGAGAGAGGGACAAGGAGGAATCTTGAGCTGAAGGTTACGTAGCAACAAGTTTTGGACTGTTAGTTCCTGTTTTGCCACAGACTGAGAGCACTCAGGACAGTTTGACAGTCACTGAAGAGAAGTGCAAGTTTTACAGGCAGGAAATGAGATTGGAGAGAGAGAGAGAGAAAGAAAGAGAGGCAAACAGAGACAGAAACAGACTCTGTGTTAAGAATGCTGCATTTAGCTATATTGGCAGGCAGCTGACCCATATGGATTCTGTGCAGGAAATTCAGTGAGGAGTCAACAGCAGTTTTTTAAAAAAGAAAATTCTCATAGGATGTAGGTATCACTGGCTCGGCTAGCACTTATTGCTCATCTCTAATTGCCCAGAGAGCAGTTAAAAGCTAACCATGTTGCTGAGGGTCTGGAGTTGTATGTCAGCCAGACCAGGTAAGGATAGCCGACGGCCTTCCTTAAAGGACATTAGTGAACCAGATGGGTTTTGAAAACCTGTTGGTTTCATCTGTGCTGTTAGAATTCAAGAAATTGTTCTCAGAATCAGTAGGCAGCTAAGTCTTGGAGTCAGAATTCAGAAGAGGTCCAGGGGAGCTGAGAAAATGAGAATGTTATTGGCTCTGTATTGGGGGAACCCATGAAGGCCCTGAAAGAAGACTGCGAACATTAATACTTCAGGGCAGCTGAAGGGTTGCGAATTGAAAAGCTCACAAACAGTATTTGATTGATGCAACTGGACAAGTTTGAAGTTCAGGGGAAAACCAAGGGTTCGGACCAGCTCAGTGATGTTAATCTGCTGATGAAAAGCTGGAGTTATGTTGTGAATAAATACTAAAAGTACAGAATTAGAGTCCAGAGGAGTGTAAACCCAGGAAAGGAGTCCAGAACTGGAGCAGTCATCAAGCCAATCCATGACAGAACAGCTTTTGAGACTAGTAGATTGGGAAATGTGAAGAATTGTGATCCCTATGAAGTTTAATGAGATTTGATGATTCAATTCTATCATTACTTTGAGGGGTGGGTAGTTGCTAAGACATAAGTCACTAACATATTTGACATTTGACGTGGGTGTCAACTCACAGTTTATCACCCACATATTTACCACATGTTAATTCTGGGTATTATAAATAAGTCATACATGTATTGTTGATTGTATTATTGTTTTGTGTGTTGTAAAGTTTATTGTTGTTTGTTCAAAACTGTGGCTTGTTCTCACATTTTGCCTACAGTTAAAAACATTAGTAGTCCCTAACAAGATCATAACATAAATTTGGCAATCTGGACTGGGGTCATAGCAGACAGCAACACCTGCATACAGCACTGTCAGCTTTTGCCCGGTTCAGTCTGAGGCGAGAATATATTTGGTCCAAGCTCTGACATCCTTGCTGTTCTACCGTCAAATCCACCTTGGTGGGAATGGTACGAGTGTTGACAGTGAAAGAGTAGTAGGACAATTTTATCATGAGAAGGTTTACAACCAAGTGTAGCATTATGCAGAAAATAGACACTTTTTTAAAAAAAATGCATAGATTTTACACCGGCTGCTTAAGGCAGTAAAATGTTATTAGAGTTGGAGGTTTTAACCCTGTAACGTGTCCTGGCTAACAATCAGGTAAGAGAGCTGGAGCCCTCTTAAGTGTCTGACTCTTAACATAGTTAAAATTGCCACCATTAACAGTGGCATCAAAGACCATTAAATTCTAATGGAAAGAGAGAATGCATTTAAGTTTAAATCTGCAAAGTCCAAATACCTCATTCTAATTGACATTTCCTCTTCCGGGAGGCCACGGGGGAGGATTAATAGCAAAGCTCATCATGGACCCAAAATTTATTTAATATTTCCAGGAAACAATATCTACTCTGACAATTCCCTCCATATCCAATTCTAAAAGCCCACGTACAGGTCTCTTCCCCTTCTCTCCCCCACCCCCGCTCTGTGAGTGTAGTGAAGGTACAAAATAAAACTATCAAAACGTTTGGTTTGGTTGTCACAGTGAAAACTCACGGTAGGAGCCAGGGCAAATTTCCAGAAATGCCGATTCCCATATTACTATCAGCTGCTGCAATTAAACGCAGGGGTTTGTGATCCATTCTGATCTCATGGGCGAGAAACCTGGAACAGAGTCAGAGCCTGCCTACCCTACGCTGTTCAATCACAGGCTCAGCAAGAGCAAAGTCTACTAAAAATCTGCATCTAAATCCAGATGTTGCGTAAGTCTTTTTTTTCTGCAGAGAGGGCGTGGTGTTGAGCGCCACCCACAAATTTTCGCTTTAAAAATCCACGAAAAAAGTTGAACCTGGGAATTGGGATATAAACTTGGTTTGGAACAGTTAATCATTGCTGCTAAGCACCCTCTCTTACCCAGCAAAAATAATTTTGATTTTTTTTTTAAATCATCCTGATTCAGACATGTTGTGACACCTTGAGGGTAGGTGGGATTTAAAGCTGGATGTTCCAGACCGGAGATACGGCACTGCCACTAAGTCACAAGATCCTTAAAGTTCAACGCGGTTGACTCGATGAGAATGTGTAATCCTCTAATGTAGTATCAGATCAGTTATCATCACGCCACAAATCAGCTCTTTTTAAAGAAAATGGAAGCCAACCTTTGGAAGAAGAGGCAAAGCTGTACTGAAACATGAAATCAGGATTTCCTGTTTAATGCACGGGCTCTACAACCTGCAAAGGAACGTCAAATCTTTCCGTGATGTAAAATCATATCAATTGTTTTTAAAGATTGTTTATTCTTGTTATAATATTCATGTGATCATCTGTTTCACCGTCTGGCGATTTAAGTTAAAAGTAAAAGATATTAAGGCCTGAATTTTCAGTTCCAAGGACGTGTCTTACTGGAATCAAAATGAATCTCTTTCTCTCCCCTCCACAGATCCTGCCAGAGCTGCCGCGTTTCTTCTGTTTGTTCCAAATCATCTGGTTTATTCTGAAATTTGTTTATTCCAAATCATCTGGTCTCCAGATAGTCTGGATGTATGTTGGAAGATGGTCAATGGTCCCTCTCAGAAGTACCGACACACTGACTATGTGGGAACTGCCCGGGAAACTAAAATTCCCGATGGACAATTACCAAGCATCTGGGAAAGTCTTACTCATAGAACATTACAGCGCAGTACAGGCCCTTCGGCTCTCGATGTTGCGCTGACCTGTGAAAGCAATCTGAAGCCCATCTAACCTACACTATTCCATTATCATCCATATGTTTATCCAATGACCATTTAAATGCCCTCTCTGAGTAAAGAACCTACCTCTGACATCTGTCCTATATCTATCACCCCTCAATTTAAAGCTGTGTCCCCTCGTGCTAGCCATCACCATCTGAGGAAAAAGGCTGTCGCTGTCCACCCTATCTAATCCTCTGATCATCTTGTATGTCTCTATTAAGTCACCTCTTAACCTTCTTTCTAACGAAAACAGCCTCAAGTCCCTCAGCCTTTCCTCATAAGACCTTCCCTCCATACCAGGCAACATCCTGGTAAATCTCCTCTGCACCCTTTCCAATGCTTCCACATCCTTCCTATAATGCGGTGACCAGAACTGTACGCAATACTCCAAGTGCGGCCGCACCAGAGTTTTGTACAGCTGCAACATGACCTCATGACTCCAAAACTCAATCCCTCTACCAATAAAACCTAACACACCGTACGCCTTTTTAACAACCCTAATCAACCTGGGTGGCAACTTTCAGTGATCTATGCACATGGACACCGAGATCTCTCTGCTCATCCACACTACCAAGAATCTTACCATTAGCCCAGTACTCTGTATTCCTGTTACTCCTTCCAAAGTGAATCACCTCACACTTTTCCGCATTAAACTCCATTTGCCACCTCTCAGTCCAGCAGCTTATCTATATCCCTCTGTAACCTGCAACATCCTTCTGCACTATCGAGAACTTCACTGACTTTGGTGTCATCCGCAAATTTACTAACCCATCCTTCTACACTCTCATCCAGGTCATTTATAAAAATGACAAACAGCAGTGGCCCCAAAACAGATCCTTGCGGTACACCACTAGTAACTGAACTCCAGGATGAACACTTCCCATCAACCACCACCCTCTGTCTTCTTACAGCTAGCCAATTTCTGATCCAAACCGCTAAATCACCCTCAATCCCATGCCTCCGTATTTTCTGCAATAGCCTACTGTGGGGAACCTTATCAAATGCTTTACTGAAATCCATATACACCATATCAACCGCTTTACCGTCATCCACCTGTTTGGTCAACTTCTCAAAGAACTCAAGGTTTGTGAGGCACGACCTACCCTTCACAAAACCGTGTTGACTATCCCTATCTAGATGATTATAAATCCTATCTCTTATAATCCTTTCCAACACTTTACCCACAACCGAAGTAAGGCTCACTGGTCTATAATTACCAGGGTTGTCTCTACTCCCCTTCTTGAACAAGGGGACAACATTTGCTATTCTCCAGTCTTCTGGCACTATTCCTGTAGACAATGATGACATAAAGATCAAAGTCAAAGGCTCTGCAATCTCCTCCCTAGCTTCCCAGAGAATCCTAGGATAAATCCCATCCGGCCCAGGGGACTTATCTATTTTCAGACCTTCCAGAATTGCTAACACCTCCTCCTTATAAACCTCAATCCCATCTAGTCTAATAGCCTGTATCTCAGTATTGTCCTCGACAACATTGTCTTTTTCCTGTGTGAATACTGACGAAAGATATTCATTTAGCACCTCTCCTATCTCGTCTGACTCCACGCACAACTTCCCACTACTGTCCTTGACTGGCCCTAATCTTACTCTAGTCATTCTTTTATTCCTGACATACCTATAGAAAGCTTTAGGGTTTTCCTTGATCCTACCTGCTAAAGACTTCTCATGTCCCCTCCTGGCTCTTCTTAGCTCTCTCTTTAGGTCCTTCCTGGCTAACTTGTAACTCTTAAGCGCCCTAACTGAGCCTTCACACCTCATCTCTACATAAGCCTCTTTCTTCCTCTTGACAAGAGATTCAACTTCTTTAGTAAACCACGGTTCGCTTGCTCGACCACTTCCTCCCTGCCTGACAGGTACATACTTATCAAGGACACGCAGTAGCTGTTCCTTGAACAAGCTCCACATTTCAATTGTGCCCAGCCCCTGCAGTTTCCTTCTCCATCCTATGCATCCTAAATCTTGCCTAATTGCCTCATAATTGCCTTTCCCCCAGCTATAACTCTTGCCCTGCGGTATATACCTATCCCTTTCCATTGCTAAAGTAAATGTAACCGAATTGTGGTCACTATCACCAAAGTGCTCACCTACCTCCAAATCTAACACCTGGCCTGGTTCATTACCCAGTACCAAATCCAATGTGGCCTCGCCTCTTGTTGGCCTATCTACATACTGTGTCAGGAAACCCTCCTGCACACATTGGACAAAAACTGACCCATCTGAAGTACTCGAAATATAGCGTTTCCAGTCAGTATTTGGAAAGTTAAAGTCCCCCATAACAACTACCCTGTTACTTTCACTCCTATCCAGAATCTGAGTTAGATTAGTTAGTAAC